AGGGCCGAGGAGGGGATCCGGGGGGCGGCGGGATCTCCCCCCAGCATCCTCTGGGTGCCCACGTCGGGCAGATAGATGAGGGCTGCGGGGGAGCCGGTCATCTGGCCAATCAGGCAACAGCATTTACTAGGTCCTTCCTAGGGCCAGGCCCGGCGACAAGCCATGCCCATGTTTTACAGATGAAGAAACAGGCCCAGGCAGGTTCTCAATGAGAACAAAGCATGTTCCTTACTTAAACTCTGAATTATCCTAAGAAGCAGCTTCCCAAGAAACACACAAACAGGTGGCGCTTAATACATGTTTGTTTTCTCTGGCTGGACGGTATAACGGGGACCGGGGCTAGGAACCAGGGCGCGGAACACAGGAAGGAACGCAGGGACGTACCGTACCCCCTCCAAAAGGCCACTGGTCGAGGCCCAGTAAAACTACGTCTCTGGCCCTTGCGCGCTGTGCCCCGAGTCCCCAGGCATGCTGGGATTTGTAGTCCCCGGGCGGCTCTGGGCCGGCGCTGGCGCCTGGGAGAGTGAGGAGAGCTTTCCTAGGGGTGACAGCGGGGCGGGGCCTCGGGATGGCCGGCCACTGAGCGAGGGAGGGGGGCGGGGAGTGACGCTGACGGACGGGCCGACGGGCCTCTAGCTGTGCGGGGGTGGGGCCAGGCGGGCCTCAGAGCCATGGGAGGCGGAGGCTGCTGGTGGTGGGGTCGGGCGGCTCGCCTGGCCCGGCGCCCCTGCTTCCGGGGGGCGCTGCTGTTGGCGGCCTCGAGGCGCGGCCGGGCCGGCCGGGGCGCCTTCGGCCCCGGGTCCGGGGGCCGCGCTGCGGCTGCGCCGCCCCCCGTGTCCGAGCTGGACCGCGCGGACGCCTGGCTCCTGCGGAAGGCGCATGAGACGGGTCAGTGCGGACTGGGGACTGCTCAGGGGGAGGGGGAGGGTCTGCATAAAGGAGACGGTCCGGATAAGTGGGGTCCAGCGTGGCTAGAGCGGCAGGGCTACACGGAGGAGCGGGTCCGGGTCCTGGATAGAAGCGGGGGAAGGAAATAGAGATTTAGAACTGGGAAGATCACCTGGCCAACCCCCTCATTCTACAGAGGGGGAAACTGAGGCCCAAAGAGATGAAAGGGATTTGCTTTGGTGGTGGGATGGAAGAGACTTTACAGGTCCCCTAGGTGAAGCCCCTCGTTTTCCAGACGAGGAAACACGCCTGGAGGGGTTGCACACAGTAGGGTGCGGCAGAACTGGGACCCGAACCCAGTCCAGTGACTCCAAGCCCTGGGTTCTTACCTTCGCCCTCGGCTGGTCGTTTAGTGGAATTGAATAGACAGTAAGCGCTAAGCCCTTCTCCAGGTGTCTGGGATGCAGAAATAACACATAACCTCCTGGGAGGGGTGAGCACCCTGGACATAACCAGACAAAGCATATAAGGAAGCACATTTCCTGTGCCAAGACCCGGCAGTGGGAACACATGGGGATGGACAAGGCTTCAGTGCCCTCCGCAGAAGGCCACCCCCGGAAGAGGTCTCAGAGGCCACCCAATCCAAACGACTCAATCAATCCACATTTATTTATTTATTTATTGCTTTTTTTTTTTGGTGGGGCAGTTGGGGTTAAGTGACTTGCCCAGGGTCACACAGCTAGTAAGTGTCAAGTGTCTGAGGCCATCTTTGAACTCAGGTCCTCCTGACTCCAAGGCTGGAGCTCTATCCACTGTGCCACTTCGCTGCCCCGAAATCCACATTTATGTGCTAAGTGCTCAGGGTGCAAAGGGAGGCAAAAGATGGCCCCTGCCCTCAAGGAACCTACAGTCTAGTGGGAGAAACAAGCAGGATCTGTTGGAACTAACTACCAGAAGGGAAGGACTAGAACTGGGGCGGGGGAGGCTTCCTGTAGAAGGAGGGATTTCAGCTGGGACTTAAAGGAAGCTGGGGAGGTTAGCGGTCAGAGCAGAGGAGGGAGCGTATTCCAGGCATGGGAGACAGCCAGAGTTTACTCTTCCTTCAGAGAAGATGACAGAGACATATGAGCAGATACAAAATAGGTACTAGATGTTATGTAAGCTTCTTGAGGACAGGAAGGGACTGTTTGCTTTATCCCTTGGGTTTAGTGCTGGGCCTTGTTGGTTGTATGGTGGGGAGAGGGAAAGGAGGCACCCACTGCTGAGGGGGTCATGAGGAATCAAATGTCACTTTTTTTAAAGAGCCTCTGTCCTTCCACTAAGAGATGACGTGATTTTCCAAGGCTTTTCCCAACTAAGAGCTACTGGGCCACAAATTGAAGTTAAATCAATTTACACATAAAATCGAAGTATGTATCCCGTGTACATCCCCCTCCTGAAACCTTGGACTTCAATAAAGGCTCAGGCCTGGACTTGGAGCAGCGGACACTGGCACCTGCCTGGGAATTCCGTGGGGGTATCCAGCCCTGCTGGCACAATGTGGTGCTGTGACCAAGCCCCTTCCCCCTCTCTGATCCCCACTTTCCCTATTTGTCAAATCCGGTGTCTGGGCTATGCAGGGGTCCCAAAGTTTTAGTATAGTTTTAAGCTAAGGTTAGGGTTAAAAATGCATTTTGGGGACCGCTAGGTGGCTCAGTGGATAGAGCACTGAGTTCAAATCTGGCTGTATGACCCTGGGCAAGTCACTTAACCCAGATTGCCTCACCCCCCCAAAAATGCACTTTGGGGACAGCCTGTATAATCAGAGTATTTCATCGATGAAGACCTCTGTCCTATGTTTCAAGGTCCCTCTGAAAAACTGTGGTGTTAGAGAACAAAGATGAGGCCTTGAAGGCCAACTGAGTGTAAGCTGTAGCATTGAAAGGCATCTTAAAGACTGATAGGAAGAGAACTGCGTTTGGTACCAGGAGACCACCCCTCACCCCCCAGGTGTGACCATGATAATAATCATCATGATATGGAGCCTTTAGGTTTGTAAAAGGCTTAGCCTAGCTCATCTGATTCTTACAGCTCTTACTTATCCCCATTTTACAGATTAGGAAACTGAGGCTGAGAGAGGATAAATGATCTTTTCCCGGGGTTACCAAGCTAGTGTCTTCATGAAGGGAATTTGAACCCAGGACTTTCCATCTCCAGCTCCAGCACTGTAGGCTATGGTGTCTGGATGACCACTGGCTGTGAGGGTTAGATGAGAGAATACTGAATGGCACTAAAGCCGACTTAACTATGCCATCTACTCCAGTCTCATTCTTTCTCGGAGGAAGCTGAGGCTCCCACAGGGTCACAGGGCCACACATCTAGAGCCCAAAAGGACCTCAGAGGTCATCCAGACCAACCTGGAAACTTTACAGAGGGGGAAACTGAGGTCCCATGGAGCAGGCGTGACTGACCCACGGTCACTGGGAATAACCAGCATAGAGAGGATTTGAACTCAGGTCCTGTGCCTCCAGTCAGTGCCCTTTCTTGTCTAAACTCATGGCAGGCAGTGTGAGTCTCTGGCCTCCTGACCTCAGTTCTCAGACTCTCCTGGGCCAGGCCTAGCCAGGCCGGCTCCTCCTGGGGACTTATAAAGGTCGTGGTCCCTCTGTCCCTTGCAGCCTTCCTCTCTTGGTTCAGAAATGGCCTCTTGGCCTCGGGCATAGGAGTCATCTCCTTCATGCAGAGCGATATGGGCCGGGAGGCCGCTTACGGTGAGTGCTGGGACCTGCGACTGGGACGGAACCCTCCAGTGGAGCCCCTGTCTGTCCCACTCCCTCCCTGCCCCGTTTCCTTTTTCCCAAGTTGGGGGCAAAGGGCATGTAGGGGAGAGAACAGAACCTTTGGGGAGTGGGGTCCTAGTCCCCTCCACTCACTTCTTGGTTTTCCTTGAAGGGGGGGAGGAGGCAGAACCCGGGGGGTCTGTTTTCCTGGACCCCAAATTCTGAGCCGGACCCTGTCGACTTGGCACCGTAAGCCCATCTCTCCCCTGGAGGGGGGTGCCCACCCCCTCCATTTGGATTCTGTCCCTTCCCGCCCCTCGCCCCTGTCCCCGCCTCTTGGGATCTGTCCCAGGCCAGCCCCCAGCATTCACTTCGGGCTCCCTCCCTGGCATCTTTTCCAGGCTTCGGTCCCGTAGCTAGGGTTCCCCACTGAGGTTTGTCCCGCCCTCCCCCACTGGGGCCTCTGGTACTTGTCCCTTCCTCCGCCCAGCCTCCCCACCCCCACCCCTTTCCTCCTGCGTGATCAGGCCCCGCCCCAGCTTGGGTTCCTCTGCCGGATTCTGTTTTCACCCCACCCCCCGCCCCCACACCCCAGTTTGGTCCCTGCCCCATCCCCTGCCGCCCGGGGTATGCCTCCACCAGGCCAGAACCCTCCTGGGTTCTGTGACACTTCCCCGTTCTCCTACTTCTGGTCCCCGCCCAGGTCCCGTCCCCACCCCCACCCCCTCGTGCCGTCCTCCCCTGGCCCCGGTCCCCCCTTTCCCCATCCCTGCCTGGATCCTGTCCCCATCCCTCACCCCAGCCGAGTCCCAGTCCTGTCCCCTCCTCCCCGCCCTCCCCCACTGCGCCCGGTCCCGTCCCGTGCCATCCTCTTTCCCTCCCGGGTCCCGGCCCGTGCCATCCCCTTTCCCTCCCGGGTCCCGGCTCGTGCCGTCCCCTTTTCTCCCGGGTCCGGTCTCCATCTCCCCTTCCCCGGCCCGGTCCAGCTGAGCCCCGTCTCCTCTGCCGCAGGCTTCTTCCTCCTGGGCGGCCTGTGCGTATTCTACGGCGGAGCCTCGTACGTGGCCGGCCTGGCTTCGCTCCGGAGGCCCATGATGCTGTCGCTGGGCGGAGCGCTGGTCGGGGGCGCGGCCGTGGCCTCTGCCGGCCTGCTCTGGGCCTGTGCCGTGGGCCTCTACCTGGGCCAGCTGGAGCTGGAGGTGGAGGGGCCCGAACCCGAGCCGGGGCTGGAGCCGGACGAAGCCGATGAGGAGGAGTCACCGGCCGCCAGGGCCGGCCCGCCGCGGGGCCAGGCCAAGTGAGGGGCCGCGGGCACGGCCCGAGCACCATTAAAGGCCCCCGCACTCACACCGCAGACTCTGAGTTTTGGTTTGGGGGTGGGCTGGGGGCGGGGAAGGCTTGCGTCACTCCGCCCCCCAGCTGTGCCCCTAGTCTGAGCCCCAGCAGGCCTTCTACCCACCCCCCAGAGCTCTGACCTGGCCCCAATTGGAGTACCCCAATGCTGGACAGGGGGTCCCTATATCCCAGTCTGACCCCACAGTTTCCTCTGGTGTCCCTGAGTTTCTCTAGGCTCGTAGACTTGGGGCTGGAAGCGACCTCCAAGACCGTCTAATCCACCCCCACCCCTCCCCTTTTTACGTAGGAGGAGGAGTCTAGGAGGGCCCCAGTGGTTCAGGGACTTGGAGAGGCCACGGGGTTACTGAATGAGGGATCTGAATCCAGGACCTCCTGCCAAGACAACACTTTTCCCGACTAAGCCTTGGTGACCCAGCTCCCTGCCTCCCCCCATCCGTTGTTCCTCTGCTAGGGCCCTGACCTCACTCCCCTCCTCTCCAGGCTTCATTTTCTCCATCTCAGAGATGACGGATGTGGCTGAAATCTCTCAGCTTCTACTTTGGGAAACTTGGGCCTGGACACCTGTGTCAAAGATTCGTCCATTTACCACCGGACAGAACCTGGGAGGTCATTTAGTCCAATCAGAGCAGAAGAAACTTGAGGCTAGAGCATTCTGGGACGTGATTTGCCCCAAAGTCACCGGTTTTAAGAGGCAGTTGGGAATTCAAACTCAGGTCTCCCCACTCACTGCTCCTTCCCCTGGAAACCCTGGCTCACAGCCTCCTCCTAACCGCCCCCCCCAGCCGAACGGGGCGACAGGCAGATCAGGAAGCCAGAGCTGAGGAATGCCATTTAATGCTTCCCCCACCAAGCCCAGCCCTATCCCGGAGAGGGGAGTGGGCGCAGCCTCCACCTGTGTCCAGCTGTGACATGGGGCCAGTGGCTACTCCTCAGGGGTCTCCTGTGCCTGACTCCTGGGGAGGGGGGCCCATGCTGGACCTTCGAGCAGCTGCATCCCACTTGTCCACAGTCCCAGCTAACCCCCCCTCACTCAGTCCCCTTTCCTGTCTGGTCCCAGGAAGGGCACGCTGGGGTAGAGGGCATCAGGAAAGGTTGGGCCCGGGCCAGTGAGCCTCTGGAGGTGCTGATAAACCAGCCCTGGGGTGGGGATTGCCAGGCCTAGCTCTGCTGGCCCATATCGGATGGTGCTGGTATATAGGCCCCTAGTGGGGGCTAGGTAACCAGCATGGACCAGAGTGGGTGGGGATGGGGAGTCAGGAGGTGAAGGGGGCCTGTGGAAGGGCTCCCCAGCTGCGTAGGAGGCCGCATAGCTCCACGGCCTCATGGTCTCCCGCTTCAAGCTCCCTGCCCGGATGACAGAGGTGAATTCAGGCCGAGAAACCGGGTGTCTGGACTCCCCATCATCACTGTCCTCACCACCTTCCCCGCCAGTGGTCTCTCCTTGGCTGCTGCTTCCTCTGGCTGGTTCCAGTTTGATGCGTTTGCTTCGGGCTTGGCGGGCCCCAGGCTCAGGCTGGGAGGCTCCTTGCTCACCCTCCACCTGGGCCTTGGACTCTGAAAGAGAAAATGTCCCTGTGATAGTAATTACTATTCTATGCTACACTCCCCAAAGGGTCAAAATGATTCCTCTCTTTGCACCTCAGTTTCCTCATCTGGAAAATGGAAGGATTGGGTAATATGGTCTCCAAGGTCCCCTCTGGCTCCTCCATTCTGTACTTTATGTTCTAATATTCTTCCAGCTCTGACAGTCTGTTTTAAAGTGCCTCCCAGCTGACATTCCTTGTTCTAAGGCCCCTTCCAGCTCTGACATTCCATGTTCTAAGGCTCCTCCCAGCTCTGACATTCCGTGTTCTAAGGGCCCTCCCACCTCTGACATTCCATATTCCATGACCTAAGGTCCTGTTGAGCAGACACTTTCCCCTGTTTTAAGGTCACTTCCACCCTGATATGCAGTGACTTTCTGAATCGGTTACTGTCTAACCATTGAAGGTTCTGGGGACCTCAGATCCTAGCTCCGGGAATGTCTGATGTCAGAATGGGTGGGATATGAGAATCATGCTCTGGAGAAGGGATAGAATTAGGGGTCCCATCCCCTCCCCGACCGATCTTTACAGCTATGTCCCGGGTACCTTTGATGTCAGGTTCTGGATCTGACAGGTCCTCTTGGGGGACGGTGCTGGGGAGCTGGAGAGCATCCAGGGCCACGTGGCCACTTTCCACTTGACTGTGGGTAAGAGGCCAATGGTCACAATTCAGGTGTCCCTGGCACTCATCCTTTCCCCTCACTTCCTGAGGTCCCAGGTTCTTAGAGGGGATTTGGGGAACGGAAAACCTAGTCTTCCACAGCTGACAACCCCAACTGGAGTGACCCCCTTCAGGAATCTTTTGGGGCCCCAGGACCATTTCCTCAGCTCCCCAGGGTGGGCCCTGCACTCTGGCTCTAGGTTTGCTGCCCCACCAGAGAGGACTGGACGGTACAATTAGTTTTGTCTTAAATAGATGGAAAGTTTCCTCCTTCCCCGGTGACTGAGTCTGTCCCTGCCCTACCACCCAGACAGTGGCTCAGACCTTCCTCACCTGAGTATGTAGCTGACCCAGACCACGTGGCGCTCGCCTGGGCTCTTGCCACTGATGGCCACTGTGGCCACGGACTGGAGCCAGATGAAGCCTCCAGCCCTCTGCAGCCATCGGTAATAGCCTGTCACCACCTGCCCTTTGTCCAGCACTGGTCCCAAGAGGGGAAGGCCGAGGCAGAGACAAGTGTCGATCAAAGGGGATTGGGGGACAGAGGTGGGAGCAGGGAAACACACAGGGGTGGGGCCGGGGGGGGAGATGCAGACCAGATCAAAGATGGAAGAAGGGGAAAGATGGGCGGAGAAATGGGGGACGTCAAAGCAGAGATCAGGGAGACATGATTGGGGAAAGACAGAGGCACAGAGGGACGGTCAGAAATGGGAAGAGAAAGAGATGTGGAGACAGACACAGAGACAGCATAAGACCGAGAAACAAGAAGTATAAGGGAAGATGCAGACAGATAAATGAAGATGGAAGAGAGAGCAACAGAGTAAGAATCAGAGAGGTAGAGACACCTCTAGAGAAATGAATCTTAAAGATTTTCAGGGGGAAGGGAAGAAGATTCCTGGCTCAGCTTCTGTCCTGGCTACTTAAGGATTTCTCTGAGGGCAGAATGAGGATGAACAGGACTGAAGGTGCAGTGGGCTACTGGGGCAAGACCTAAGGAGGGAATTCCCCATGGGCATTGATAGCTGGATGGGAATAACACAGTGCGTTCCTGGAGCTAGGGGTCAATGGAGGGGTAGAGGGGGTTCACGCACAGTCCAGGTGGCTCTGGCGGATTCCAGCCACATCCTCCCCGTGGATATACTGGTAGCAACTTCGTCCAATCAGTTCCGAGGGGCCCACATCCATGTAGTCACTAATCCTGCCAGGGACCAAGATGGAGTGATTAGAATGAGACATCCCCATCTCCTCTCTTCAACTCCCATCTTTCCTCCCATCTCTCTAACCCTTTTTTACTTCATCTCATCTTCCATCTCCCATCTCTATCTCTCTTTTCCTCATCCCTCAACCTTTCTTTCTTTAGGCCACCTTTCCACCCTCCATCCCCCAATCTTCTCTCCATCCATCTCTTCGCCATCATCCATCTCTCCCTATCGCCCTATCCTCTTCTTTCCATCCTTCTTTCTCCATTTGCAGAATCATAATCAGAATATTGAAAAGGCCCTCGATGACCATTAACTCCAACCCACACCTGAAAAAGTGTCGACTCCAATACATCTGACCAATGGCTCTCTAGTCTTCAGAGACACCTCCAGTGACGACTTCCCAAGGCATCCCATTCTCCTTTGGGCCGGCTCTAACGGCTATGTTTTCCCCCATGTCAGGACTAAATGGGCTTTTTTGCACCTTGAACTTGCTCCTATGTCTGCCCCTCTGGGATCAAATAGAACAAATCTAGTCCCTCTTCCACAATAACTCTTCAAATATTTCACCATAACAATTATATGCCCCTTGAATCTTCTCCAGGCTATATATTTCCAGTTCTTCCACTCAGTCCTCCTATGGCATTGATTCAAGACCCTTCATCATCCTAGTTGTTCTCTTCTGGACACTCTAGCTTATTAATGTAATCTGTTGCAATAAGAACTGAACATTCTGACCTCTCCATTTTTTATCTATTTCTCCTTCCTCATCTCTTTATCTTCAGTCTGTCCACCTCCATCCCCTTCAGTCCCTTATCTTCCATTCTCCATGTCTCCATTCTCCAACTCCATCTCTGCATCCCCCATCCCTTCACAATCATCTCTATCCCCAAATAGCCATAGACCATCTTCGCCATCCATCTCTCTTCTTTCCCCACTAAAGCTCCTTCATCCATCTCCTCATCTCCAACTCCCTGTCCTTCAGATTCATCCTCATCTCTCACTTAATTTCTTAATCTCCAACTTCCCATCTATTGCCACCTATCCATTCTTCCTCTAGCTCCATGTCTCCCCTTCTTTGATTTGTCACATCTATCCCTCCTCTATTTCTCAAATCCATCTCTCCATCCTTCATTTCTTTTCCCCATCTCTCCATCCTCACTTCAGAGTTCTTCTATCCATTATCTACCAGCGCCCACCTCTCTTTTTCCACATCTCATTTCCCCATTTCCTATTTCTGCCTTCATCTTCCACCCTTCTATCCCCGTTCCTCTGTTACCCATTTCCAAATTTACATCTTTCCATGCCTACTTCCCTACTGTCTCCATCCCTAGCCACACTCTCATCCCCTAACTTCCCATTCCATCCCTCCATTCCACCTCCTTGTGCTTATATCTCTTCCCATCTCACTACTCCTGCTTTCTACCTACAGTAATCCATTCTTTATATTTCCTCCATTTCCCATCATTCTAACCCCATATCTCCATCTCTTCATCCTCCATGCTACCATTTCTAACTTACTCTGCCCCACCTCCCTATCTTTCTTTCTTTCATTTCTCGGTCCCCATCTCCGTACCCCAATCTATTTCCCACCCAACTCTCCTAACCCCATTTCTCAGTTTCCACACCTCACCCATCACTTCCCTTCTCACTCTTCCCACCTGCTCTCACAGGAGATGATAGTCAAGGCCAGGCTGAGGCGAAAGACAAGTGTGTGGCCATGCAGGGGGAGTTCGCTGAGTGGAGCTGGGGGCAAGGTGTGGCCTAGGGCAACCAGACCCAAAGCTTGGCCTCGTCGGGCTGTCAATAGCTGAGTCCTAAGCCGACCAGTCACGTGAATTACCTGTGAGAGGTATTTGGGACACACACTTGGGTAATGTAGGGGTGAGGCCAGGAAGGGCTAGGGGAACTGAACTGAAGGGAACCTTATACTACTATGTAATAGCCTTGTGTTACAAATGAGGAAACTGAGAGCCAGAGAAATGAAGGGATTTTCCTGTCTCCAGGCTGAACCTGCAAGTGAAACCAGGCCTGTTGACTCCAAATCCACGAATGTATAGCTGGATGAAGACCACAGCAGGTTGGGCAGAAGAGTGTAGCCAGGAGCACTGACCAGCACTGGGGAGAGGAATTACAGATGGACAGAGAATATAGCAGCTAGGTGGTACAGTGGGTAGAGCACCAGGCCTGGAGTCAGGAAGATCTGAATTCAAAACTGGCCTCAGACACTTATTAGCTGTGTGACACTGGGCCAGGCTAACCTCTATTTGCCTCAGTTTCCTCATCTATAAAAATGATAGCACAGGCAGCTAGGTGGTGCCTAAAGTCAGGAGGACCTGAGTTCAAATCTGACCTCAGACACCTACTAGCTATGTGACCCTGGGCAAGTCACTTCACTCTGATTGTCTCAAAAAATAATGATAATGTCACAACAGAAGCAGAGAATTGGGGAGTAAAGGATCCTGAGGAAGCATTGAGAGTCATATCAGGGAAGGAGGGAGCCAGAGTCAGCTCAAGAGGGCTCCTTACTCACCTTGTATCCCGAAGCCTTGACGTGCAACCCCCGCTTGGTGAGTGTGGATTTCATTCGGATGAAGAAGGAACGTTCAAGGGAGCCAGGTTGATTTCGAGGAGCAATCACAGGGGGGGCCAGCTCTAAAGAAAGGGGCATGGGAAGGGTCAGGGTGTCTCTGGACAGTGATCCTCCCTCTCAGGAGGGCCAGCTCTAAAGAAAGGGGCATGGGGAGGGGGTCAGAGTGCCTCTGGACAGTGACCCTCCCTCCAAGGAGGGCCAGCTCTAAAGAAAGGGGCATGGGAACGGTCAGGGTGTCTCTGGACAGTGATCCTCCCTCCAAGGAGGGCCAGCTCTAAAGAAAGGGGCATGGGGAGGGTCAGGGTGTCTCTGGACAGTGATCCTCCCTCCAAGGAGGGCCAGCTCTAAAGAAAGGGGCATGGGGAGGGGGTCAGAGTGCCTCTGGACAGTGACCCTCCCTCCAAGGAGGGCCAGCTCTAAAGAAAGGGGCATGGGAAGGGTCAGGGTGTCTCTGGACAGTGATCCTCCCTCCAAGGAGGGCCAGCTCTAAAGAAAGGGGCATGGGGGGGGTCAGAGTGCCTCTGGACAGTGATCCTCCCTCCAAGGAGGGCCAGCTCTAAAGAAAGGGGCATGGGAAGGGTCAGGGTGTCTCTGGACAGTGATCCTCCCTCTCAGGAGGGGCCAGCTCTAAAGAAAGGGGCATGGGGAGGGGGTCAGAGTGCCTCTGGACAGTGATCCTCCCTCCAGGAGGGCCAGCTCTAAAGAAAGGGGCATGGGGAGGGGGTCAGAGTGCCTCTGGACAGTGACCCTCCCTCCAAGGAGGGCCAGCTCTAAAGAAAGGGCATGGGAAGGTCAGGGTGTCTCTGGCCAGTGATCCTCCCTCTCAAGGAGGGCCAGCTCTAAAGAAAGGGGCATGGGGAGGGGGTCAGAGTGCCTCTGGACAGTGACCCTCCCTCCAAGGAGGGCCAGCTCTAAAGAAAGGGGCATGGGAAGGGTCAGGGTGCTCTGGACAGTGATCCTCCCTCAGGAGGGCCAGCTCTAAAGAAAGGGGCATGGGAAGGGTCAGGGTGTCTCTGGCCAGTGATCCTCCCTCCAAGGAGGGCCAGCTCTAAAGAAAGGGGCATGGGGAGGGGGTCAGAGTGCCTCTGGACAGTGACCCTCCCTCCAAGGAGGGCCAGCTCTAAAGAAAGGGGCATGGGAAGGGTCAGGGTGTCTCTGGACAGTGATCCTCCCTCTCAGGAGGGGCCAGCTCTAAAGAAAGGGGCATGGGGAGGGGGTCAGAGTACCTCTGGACAGTGACCCTCCCTCCCCAGTCCTTCCCAGACTAAACACCCCTCTGTAGTCCTCCCCCACACCCTACTGTAGTCACCTGGGATTCCCATGTCCTTCCATCCCTCCAGACTCAGCTGTCCAAGCTCATAACCTCTTACATAGTCCCTTATATACAAGGTCACACCCACTCACACGCATACTGCCCCAAAGACTGGGAGACACACACAGTCACATGCAATCTCACTCAAACACACGCCCAGTGAGGCACAAAATATGTGGTAAGCTACTCGGTGACTCATAACCACAGCCACATACCATCATCATAGCTGATGATGCTGTGGAAAGTGTATTGGAGTTTGGAGTTAGTGGACCCGAGTTCAAATCCTGCTCTGACTCTTACTACCTGTGTGACTGTGGACAAGTCACTTGAGCCCTCTTGGGCTCAATGTCCTCATTTGTAAAGTGAGGATGACAGTGATACCCGTGGTCCCAGGACTGCCATTAACCACAAGGAGCTAAAGGAGATGGGAGCTCTTAATGAGCAGACTGCATAGAAGAAAATCCAACTGAGACCCAAGCTAACCTGAGGTGGGTTGCTTTACAAGAGGGAAGGACAATGGTTTGGAGTGGAAAGAGTGCAGGGTGTGAAGGCAGAGGAGCTGGGCTCCCATCCTGGCTCTGCTGGGTGACCTTGAGCCAGTCTCTTTTTCTGTCTGCGCTTCAGTCTCCTCATCTGTAAAATGAGGGGATTGGACTCCATGATCTCTATGGCCCCTTCCAGCTTTAGATCCTGCGATCATTCTTATGACTCCCCTCCCACTCCACCCAGGCCATCTTGAACTAGCTAGCTGCTTCCCCATGGGGGCTTAGGCCAGAGGATTCAATCAAAAAAATCCTATTGAAATCAGTATGCCAGACGACAAAGTCAAATGCAGCCAGACACTCAAGCCAGGACCCCCACCCTCCCCTGGGAAGAACTTTTGGGGGAGTTACCAGTCTCTGGGGCTTCAGAGATTGAGGAAGCTGAGGATGAAGAAGATGAAGAGGAGGAGGCGGAGGAGGGGCCAGAAGGTGGCGCCCCAGGCCCAGGGGGTGGAGCCCTCAGCCCGAGCTGCTCCAACACCTCGGAATGGTCCCCTGGATGCACGTAGTCAAACACGCTGCTGCCAGTCAGCTCCACCTGTGGGCCATGGGGGTGGAGTGACCAATCACTTGTTTGCCCTCTGCTCCACCCCAAGGGAACAGGGGAGAAATGTCTAAGCAAAAGGGAAGTTCTTTCTATTGTTGGGCAAAGAGGGGATGGAGCGGGACTGTCCATTCACCTGCTGCGGGGACAGCTCAGAGCAAATCTCCTTTATGCCCCTCCTTTCTCTGTGTCCCTCCCCTCCCTTAATAGATTACCTCTATCCCTGGGGAGTTTCATTTTTTTTTTTTTAGGAAGGGGAAGTGGACACAGAAGGAGTTCTTTCTGTTATGGATTGATTTTTCCTCTCCTCCTTTCTTCAAAATTGATTTGAAGTTCTTCATGACACTTGAATAAGTGTGTGTGTGTGTGTGTGTGTGGTGTGTGTGTGTGTGTGGGACGGGGTGGAAGAGGAAGGGTGTCAGGGACAGGGTCTGGAAAGCAATAAGGGGGATGTCAATGAAAGTATCTGGGGGCCCTGTGATGTGGACACAAACAATGCCCTTAAAGCTAAAAGCTAAAAAGAAAATTAAGGATTGTTTTTCCAGTACCTTGTGAGGCCCCTCCTGAGCTTGAAGGCATCCTACAATCTCTCCCCCTTATCTTACCATAAAACTTCCCCCTATCCTGGACCATAAAAATCCCTTGTCTCCCTCATCCTGAGTCATAAAATTTCCTCTGTCTTTCTTATCCTGGGTCCCCTATCCTGTCATCTGTCTTCTTCATCCTGTATCATGACAATTCCCCCTTATCTTGTAAGATAAAACAGGCCCCTGTCCCTCTGTAAGTTGCTAGTCCTCCTTCCAGGGCTAGCCCAATGCTTTTGTGTTAATAAAGCTCCTAATGGTTACAGAGAAGGTCTAAGTGAATTCTTTCACACTTGTACCAGATCTCCCAACTCTAACCTCAACACCTGGACACTTGGGTCTTCACTGAAGGAAAGAGAATACAGGGCAGGGGCCTGGCAGGAGGCATAGGACAGAAAGGCTTGTATGCCTGGAGGGAAGGAGGCTAAAAGAAGAATCTGGGAGCTCTTAACATCTAAGTCTTAGATGTAGGGAGAAGGGACTGAGGTCCCCAAAGCATGGATCCAGACAGAAGAGGAAGGGGAGGCCAGGAGAAAGGGATTAGCCCTAGAATCCTTAGTTCCCACTGGTAGAAGGCAGAGGAAATTCAGAGGTAAGGTCTAGAGTCTGAATGCCCAGGGCCTCTACCTCCCATGCTTACCTGAGAGAGGCCCAGATAGATGGAAACTGTCTCTGAGATGTAGAGAAACTTGCCCTCCTGGTTCAAGGCGAACACGAACCCGTCCAGCGACTGGGGTGTTGGGGAGAGACCTGGAGAGGTGAGCTAGGGACCCAGGGGGCTGGGGCACACCAGCTCCTTAGCTCCTCCAAGGAGTCTTGGAGGTAGGAGAAGCACCCCAAATATGCCTTTGTCGATACCAGGTGGTGACAGAGAGCTAGTCTGGCCCTGAGGGCTCTGCTGTTAGGGGGAGTGGAAAGGGGTGGACATGGAGTGAAGGAGGAACAGGAAACTCAGGTATCTGGCTTCTCTCATTCTAGATTTTGGGAGATGGGGAGAGGGAAAGCTCAAGGGTTCCTGGCAGGGAAGGAAGCGGGCTTTTGGGACCTCACCTGAAGAATGTGGCCTCCCAAATGCTGTTCAAAGAGGTCAGCAAATAGGGCAGAGGTCTCTCTCCGTCCAGGGGCACCAGAGACTGAAGAAAGAGGGTAGAGTTGAGGCCCGCAGTTTATATCTGGCTGCCTCTCCCCACCCTGTGCCTTTGGGCAGATCACATGGCTTTTCTGGATCTCAGTTTCCTCAGATAAAAAGGAAGGGATTGGTCCAGACAAAACTTAAGACCCTATTTAGTTTAAAATCCCATGATTCTATGCCCTCAGTTCAAATCCTGTCTCTGCTATTATCTGTGATCATAGTCAAATCACTGCACCCCTCTGATTGAGCCTCAGATCCCTCTTATTTGAAGCAAAGTCTTGGACTAGATGATCCATAAAAAAATTTTTCCCCCTAGCTCTAAATCCTATTTTATTGTGCACTCTGAAAACAATGCCCCACTTGTCTTTTGCCTCCAATCACAGAAAATGAGAATATACTTGTCAGGACCTCCTTCTGGACCCAGTACCCCTTTCTGGGGCTCTGCTGTGATTTGGGTAAGGAGGAGGTCAGCTAGTCTAGGAAAGACAGACAGACACACACACCTTGTACATCACAGTTACTCACAGACATGGGAAGCAGTGGAAAGAGTTCTTAACTTGGAGTCACAAGACCCGAACTGGAATCTTGACTCATCTTTCTACCCTCAACATTAAGCAAACCTCTCTGGGTCTCAGATTTCCCTGCCTATAAATTATCTATTATTCCTTGATCTTATGTCACTCATACAGAGTCAGGCAAGGCATCAATTCAACACACTCAAAATACCCAGACACACCCAAACACACAGAGATTAGGTAATTCATCACACAGATTCCCTCACTCTACTCTCCAAAAGAACGGGATTAATTAATTTCACTTTCAGAAAAGCAGTCACACACATGAGGCTGCTTCTGTCTATTTCTTTGGGCTGAGGCTTTCAGGACCAAGGTCAGGGACCAGGGCTGAGTATCTAGTCCCAGCTGATGCAGAAACACTCACCGAGAGAAAACCTTCCATGAACCCACTACTTCCTGGCTCCCCTAGCAGGAGAAGGGTCCCAGGGGCAGAACCCTCTTTCCCCAAATCTGGGAGGGGGGAGAGGACAGGAGCAGCATCCTCCTCACCAGCTTGGGAGAGGGATGAAATGAGCTCTAAATTTCTGCTGGCTGTAATTTTTGAGCACACATCATGTCTTTTCTAACACCGAACATAGCACCAAAGCAGCCTGTTCCCCTGCTCCCAAGATCTAATATCTGGAAAGGACCCAACAACTTTTTTTTTTAAGTCCTTCCCATCTCCAACCTAGATCTGGACCCAGGCATCCCTTTCACTCGAGATCTTTCTGACCTGGGTGTGTTCTTCCCCCACACCTCCAATCATCATTCTCCCAAGGCACTAACATTCCCCCACTGGTGGCCAGCTCCCTCCCCGGGCTCCCAGCCTGGGTGCAGCCGGCAGCAAACAATGCCTATGGAAGGGGGTGGGGGGGACCAAGCTCCCAAGCTCACAAACAGCTCCCCCTGACAGACAGGGGAAACAATGCCTTCCCCGATAATTGTCGTAATTTTCTCTGTCATTTCCCTTAATTCTCTCATTTTTCCTTGCTGCAAATAACCCCTCGGGTCAGACAGAGCCCGCCTATAATTAAAAACGTTTAATGGGGGAATTAGAAAGCTGCTGGCAGGGAGCTGGGTGGAGGAGGGAGAAGGAGAATCAGGTGCCTCCCCTTCCCCCCAAAACAATTCTTCACTCCCAGTCCCAGACCTCTGTTCTTCTCCCAGACATTGGGCAGGGAAAGAACATCTCCCGGAAGGTGTTCAGGTCTCATTCCTCACTCCTCAATTTATCCCTCTTTTCTATCTCCCCAAATCATTCTTCCCCTTCTTTTTCTCTCCCCAATTCAGCCTCCTCCCATCCCAGTTCACTCTCACATGCTTTTATCTCCAGCCCACTCCTCACTCCCACCTCATCCCATTCCCCTTAGATCTCTTACTCACTCTCTCTTCAGCTGTCCTTATTTTTCCCTCTCTCCCCAACTAGCACCTCTCTCTGCTCCTCCCCAGGCTCCTTCCCTTCTTTATTGGGTCCCCTCAGGCCTGTACCATCATTATTTTCCCTCCTTACAGTTCTACTGCCCCAGCACTCCTGTTCCTGCACCTGTCCTCACTTCCCAACTCATCTCTTCTTCCCCAAACACCCCACTTCCCTGCTTCCAAAAACTGACATTCTGATTTCTCCTAGAGTTCCAAGTCCATCCTCAGTCCCCTGTTCCTCTCTCCTTACCTTTACAATTCCCAGACACACCCTTAGCCTTCTGCCTACTCATTTCTGCCCATTCCCCACCTCATTTCCAGAACTCCAGTCTCTATCTCTTGTCTGACTCTCCCTACTTGCCTCAACGACTGTCCATTCCCAGCTGTCTCCCCACATCTCACATCTTATTTGACTCTTCTTCCTTCATCTTATTCTTCACTTTAGCCCTTTTCCTCCCGCCCTGGCTAATTTCCATATCTCTCCCATTCCTCTCACTTCCATTTCCCCCAGATCCTCACCCCACCCCTTCCAGAGAGTGGATAAAGTGGTGGACTTTGGAAGCAGGAACATCACAAGCCCCAACACCTTCCACACTTAACTAGCTGTGTAACCTGGTTCAGAGAATTGCTCATTCCCTGAGTCTCACTTTCTTCTACTATAAAATGCAGATAATAATGGTACATACTTTCCAGGGAATGTTGGGGATGAATGGAGATACTGTATAAGGTTCTCTGTGCACCTTAAAGTGCTATAGGGATACATGTTAGTTCTTATTCTATTTCCATATTTAATAACAATAACAGCTTGCACTCACATCAGTTTAAGATTTGCAAAGCATTTTACAAATGTTACCTCATCTGATTCTCACAACAACCCTGGGAGGTAGATGCTATCTCCATTTTGTTGTTCAGTCGTGTCCAACTCTTCCTGACCCCATTTGGGGTTTTCTTGGCAGTGGTTTGCAACTTCCTTCTCTAGATCACTTTACAGATAAGGAAACTGAGGCAAACAGAGGTTTGTGACTTGCCCAGGGTCACCCAGCTAGTAAGCATTTGAGGCTGGATTTGAACTCAGGAAGATGAATCTTCCTCATTTCAAGGCCTGGCATTCTATCCACTATGCCACTTAGTTGCCACCTACATTTTATAGATGATGAAACTAAGGCTGAGAGGTTAAGTGACGTCCCAGGGTCACACAGCTAGGAAGTGTCTGAGGCCAGCTTTGAACTCAGGTCTTTTCGACTCCAGGCCCAGCATTCTAACTACTGTGCCACATAGCTGCCTCCAGCTATGATATATTTTCCCATAACCTTCCCCCTCACTACTCAATCCCCCTCTCTGAACACTTTTTTGCTTCCCATTCCTTTTAATTTACTCCCTTTGCCCCTCACTCCTACCATCCCCTCCCCAACTTAAGCCAGTCTCTTCCAAATGTTTGGTCATCTCTCCTCAGGATCCTCCCTCCCACCCTCTCCTTCCATCACCATCTGTCTCCACCTCTACATTAGCTCACTCTTCTCAACACTCTAACCCCACTTTCCTCGGGTCGAAGATCTAGCCAGATTTGGTATAGGTTGAATACAGCCTGGGCAGCTAGCTGTGTGGGTGAATAGACTTGGCGGAGTGCAGGTAATAAGAACCCTCTCCAGAGATAATAGGACTATAAGATCATAGCTGGAAAACACCTTTGAGATCATCTAGTCATTTTATAGAAGAGGAAATTGGAGAAGTTGATAAGCTAGCCCAAGGTCATATGGGCTAGTACAATTGTGGTAAAACCGAGGCTGCCATCCAGCAACCATGACCCTAAATGCAGGGCTCTCCCCCCTTCACCACACTGCCTCTGATCTAATGGGGTCATTTTCATCAAGGACCAAGGCATCCAGGGGGCTCAAGCTTTCCATTTCCCCGTCCCTGCCCCTCCAATCCTGCCTATTCTAGCCCAGGGAGGGGTCCAAATGAGGTCAGGAAGGGGAGGGAGGGTATCTGAAGACAATCAGACACTGCCCCTGCCTCTGTGCTTGAGTAGGGTGACTAGGACAAGGCAGAAATCGCCCCAGCGTCTGGAACCCAGCTCCCTCCCAGCAGTACAGGGCACACTTGGTATTCCTCTCGTTGTCTCTGGCTTGTCTCCACCACAGCCGGCCTGGGGATGGGAGCTGCATCTTTAAGGAGGCTCAGCTTTCCCCACTTCCCCTAGAAGGGGGGTACTCAGATATCAGAGTTCCCCTGCTTTGGGGAACAGAGGACTAGGGGGACCTGAGATAAGGGCACTGGGATATTTGGCTCCTGAAGGCTACAAGGACATGTGGTTGGAAGGACATTTGCAGCTCCCCCCCCCAAACTAAGGAGGGGTGGGGGTGGAGATGGCAGCCAGCTCTGAAGATCTCAAAGCATTTTTAGCCACTCTCTGTACCTATCCTCCCCCTTCCCCCTTCAGAGACTGCAGGCTTGGAGGAAGCACAGTGACCTGCCCCAGAAGTCAGAGAAACGTGTCTAGATTGCAATGGAAAGAAGGAAGCTTGTCAATTTCTTTTCTCTCCCTGTCTCCTAACTATGGTGACCCTGTTTTAGACACAGGACCCTCCCCACTCTTTTGGAGCTAAAAGGCATCTTAGAGATCATCCTAACTAGATCATCTTATGGATTAGGAAACTGAGGTTCAAAAGGGGAGAGACTTGGCCAAGGTCACACAAGGAATCAGGTCAAAACCAGAGCCCAGGTCAGCTGACTCTCAGACCAGGGTTTAATCCTGTATGACAATCTACTGCCCAGTTTCTCCCCCGCCCTTCCCCTCCACCAGACACTTCAGGTCAGGGAAAGGGAAGGAAACAGTGACAGGGAGAAAGGAGACTGAGGGACAGAGAAGAGAGAGAAGAATGATGTACAGAGAGAAGACTGAGGGATGGAGGGGAGGGGGGGAATAGAAACAAGGAGAGACTGAGGGACAGAGAAGAAGGGGAGGAATGAGCTACAGAGAGAAAAGAGACTGAGGGATAGAGCAAAGACAGCTATAGAGAGAATGCGACAGAGAAAATGGGAGGCTGAGGGATGGGGGGATTGAAGAATGAAATGAGAAGAGACAGGGAGGGTATGTAATTGAGGGACACAGGAATCTGAGGTACAAAGAAGGGAAAACAGACAAGGTGGAGACAGCTGGTGGTGGCTAAAGGATGGAGAGGGGAGACAGGGAGAGAAAGAAAATCTGAGAATACAGAGGAGGGACATTGTTGGGAAGAGGGGAGACTGGAACGAAGTGGGGGTGGCTGAGAGATAGAAAGGGAGAAATTGAGGGGGGAAAGGAGAATAAGAGAGGAATAGGGGTGAGAGAACTGCAGGGAAAAGGGTAAAGGGCAGAGAGAGGGAGACTGAGAAACAGAGGTGGAGACTGGGACAGAGATGGGGACACTGAGCTACAGAGAGGAGAGAGAGTGCAAGACAGAAAAGGGAGGCAGATGAAGGGGAGAGAGTGGGAAAGAGGGTAGGGCCTGGCATTCTCGGGCTCACGCTCTTCCCCTTCTCCCCTTTCCCGGGTGCCTGTTGCATCAATGAGGCTAATTGCAGGCATATTAACTCGCATTGGCCCCCTGGAGAGCCGGGGGTCGGGTGGGGTGAACACCGGTAGAGTGAGACTTCTTTGAAGCCAGCTTTCTCCCTGGATTCCCTGTGATCCCAGAGCCGAGAGGTCGCTCATTTTATCCTTTACCTTTCTGCCTGAATTATTCGGGTCTTGGATTCTTGCAGATTGGGAGTTTATCCTGCAGCGTCTCTCTCTCTCTCTCTCTCTCTCTCTCTCTCTCTCTCTCTCTCTCTCTCTCTCTCTCTCCCTTCCTCCCTCCCTCCCCCTCCCTTCCCAGGAGAAACTCCCACTCTTCCTCCCTAATCTCTGAGTGGCAATTAACACGCTTAGAGATCCTTTGAGGGCAGAAGAACCCTCGAAGGACAAGCCTGTCTCAGAGTCAGAGCGAACGTTTATAGAGGAGGAAACTGAAGTTCAGAGGAGATGGAGCATATCTGGGACTCTAACTCGGGCATCCTGACACCCAGCCCTGGGCTTGTCCCTGCTTACTTAGTCCGCATTTTTCTGAATTGTAGGGGTGAAGGTGGAAGGGAGCAAGGGTGTGAGGACCCCATTGACTGTCGCCCCCCAAAAATGAGGATGGTGAAGAGAGAGCTTGGAGTTGGAACAACGGGGGGCCTGTCCCTGACTTTCGTTGTGATGTTGGACAAGTCCCTTTTCAACTTGGACCTCAGTTTCTCTCTCTGTGAAACGGAAATCTTGAACTGGATAGTGTCTCTAGAAGGTCGCTCTGAACCTATGAAGGGGTTGGAGGCTGAGAACATGGGAATCCATTCCTTCTATCAAAAAGCCAGTAGTCCTGGGTCCTCTTGAGCTTAGATGTGGGTGGGGGAGGATAAGGGTGGGGTGAAGCCAGAAAAAGAGCTGAGGCACCCCTCCCTTGCCCGCGCCCCCCTCCCCCGGCTCCAGGAGACAATAGGCAGATGTTTATCCGGATTTCCAAGCGCACGCTCGGCGGCGGCTAATTCCCGGGTGGGTAATGACTGTAATCAGTGCTCGCGGTAATGCCGGATTCTCTAGGCGCTGGTTAATTTGCGTAATTACAGCCTTGGAAGCCGCATTATTTAAATGGCGATTTATCGCGGGCCTAATCAATGCTATTTTCTCGGCCCCCACCATTCCCCCCTCCCCTCTACTAGTGGTGTGGGAACCCGGGACTCAGGCAGGCTGGGACTCGGATGCCTGGGGCCGCGGCAAGGGTTTTTGCCCCTGCCAGATTCCTCGGCCCCGGCGCCAGATGGAGCCACATTGGCCACCCAGTTCCGAGCATCACTCCCAGGGTGCATGGGGAACAGAAACTTCTGGGTCCCGTTTGTCCTACTGCCAGAGTTGGTCACTCGGGAGCCAGATTCCTTCGGTAATCCTGACAGGGCTGAAAATGCAGGTAATGAGTCCTTTCTGTGATTCTGGAGCCTGAAGCTCTTGGGTCCTTCAGACCTGGCAGGCCTGGGAGCAGAAGCACCAGGGATCTGGCCTCTGGTCTCCTGTCATGGTTGGACTCAGATAATGGTTCCCTTCTGTGAGACAGGAGGCTCAGGCACTTGGCTACCTTATGTACCTCTGTCAGGAGGGGGACACCTGGGTCTCCCTCACAGGTAGGGGCCGGGCAGAGGGATACCAGGCTGTCAGGGCTAGGCATAAGGCCATCAAGGTCTCTCTATTACCCTCTCAAGGCTGGGCCCAGAGACCCTAGGGTTCCCTTTGTCTTTGGGCGTAGAGACATCAGGATCTCCTTCCCACCTATCAGGATATAGGGCACAGGAACCCTGGAGTGTTTTTCCTCTCTTCTTGCCAGAGCTTTACACAGAACCTTGCTCCTCCTTGTCATTCTGGTGGTTCAGATCCTGGGACCCCAAAGTACCCTCAGTGTTACCTGGCGCTGGTGGCGGGTCGGCTCTGGGTGAACTCCAGGGAGGGTCTCCGAGGGCAGCGAAATCCCGCAGGCGGAGGTAGGTGATGCTGAGCCGCACGATGGATGCCTTGTCCAGCTGGCTCGTGATGGCGCTGGGCAGGGGCAGCGTCTTCGCCAGCTCATAAAATTCGAAGTTTTCTTTGCCCCGGCGGGAGCGGGCCGCATTCCGGGACTTCTCCTTCCTCAAGGCCTGCAGGCTTCAGGAGGGGTGAAGGATCATTACAGGCCCTCTCCCCCCTACACACACACCTCATTCAGGCAAGAGACATGGGCCTCTCTGGGAAGGAGACATTGACTGGGAACCCGGAATGCATCTGGCAGAGTAGGGGGCAGGGACAGAATTCAGGGTGAGAATTCCAAATGGGAGGGGACATAACCCTGAGTGAGAATCCCTCCTTTTAGGGGGCGGGGACAGAAGTGGGTAAACATTCTCAGTGGGCCAAGACAGAATCCTAAATAAGAATTTTATTGTCTAGGGGCGGGGTCAGAACGAAGGGTGAGAATGCTGAATGGGTGGGGACAGAACTCGGTGTGAACATTCCAAATGGGAGGCAGCTGAGTGAGAATCGAACCTCTGCGGGGGCAGGGATAGAGCTCTGGGTGAGAATGCTGCCAGTACTGGGAGGGGCTTCAGGGGGAGGCGTGTCTTGCTCACCAGGGCACAGGCGGGGCTTTGACCAGCAATCCCTGAAGGAAGTCCCACTCAACGCTGACGCACTTGACCTCGCTTCCTGAGAAGTGGGCCGCCATTTCTGCGCCCCGAAAGCCTGGCTGGAGCTTGGGTGGACTCAGAGCGGAGGGCAGGATTCAGGGACCTGGGCACCTGCAGTAGAAAAAAGCAGTAGTTAGGACCCCATCAGGTACCCCGGAGTCCCTGTTTACCTGCTGCCTTATTTCCTGACCCCCCAACCCCATCCAAGCAGAAACTGAGTCCTGCCCAAGAGAGGGAGTCTGAGGGAGCTCATGAGCTCCCGAACTCAGGCCTCCGCAGGCCTAGCTTAAGGCTGGCTCCAGGACCTCAAGGTTCGGAGTCTAGAACGCCTGATTTCTTTCTGTGATTAGCCTTGAATATGCCCCTGCGCAGCTCCTGACCTCAGTCTCCCCCACAGGGGGACCACGAGCCGGCAATCCAATTTCACCCGGTAGTGGTTGAGGTGTCGAAGGCGCTAAGACATTCCTGGACCTGCTACCCTTTTCCAGCCCCCAGGCTTTAGGGATTCGACTAGCCCAGACTTACACATTCCCCGCAGCCCCTAGTCCTCCTCCCTAACCAGACGAGTTTCTCTCTCAGAAACCCAGGCGGCTCCTCTCCCTGCAAGCAAGCCCGCGTGGGGCCGCCAGTGCGCGCGGACGTGCCCAGCCTCCCAGTCCTTAGCCGCCCGCGCCGGGCTGGCTCCCGCATACCAATGGGGGCCCACGCGGCGCGCATACGGATCGGGACCGGCCTGCGCCCTGCATACCAAGCGACGACCCCGATACAGCAGGCGGCGAGAGCTGGGGCACTGGGAAATGGAAGGACTAGCAACTCATCCTAGGACCTAGACGGTCCGAGTCTCCCACCCTCCACCCCGGGGCTCCGGCCATCCCTCTGTATTTATTCCCTTGCCTCCCGAGTGTCCCCCGCCCCCCTTCTCACTGCCTAGACTTCCATCCTCTCGTTTCCCCTCGCCTTTCTGCTGCCCTGGGGAGACCCCCTGGATCTAAAAGAGGGGGGAGGGAAAGGGGAAACAGCTGACCTCTTTCCTCCTCAGGTAATAGGGTCTCTAATTCCCACCCCCACCCTCACTTCGCTGCCTCGAGAGAAAGCCACGTGTTCTGGGCATAGCGACCCCAGCCTCTCTCCCCAAATCCACCTCCCCCCATCCACCTCTTCTTTCCCTAGGACCTCCTCAGGCGTCCAGTGTCTCCTCAGGATCTAGGAATCCCCTGCCTCCTTTCCCCCTAGGGTCTCAGATGTCCAGCACCTTCCTTCCTCAGTCTCCGTGGGTCTTCATCCTCAGCCTCCCCATAAACCGCCGACCCCCCCACCCAGTCAACCACCCGTCTGGATCTCTTCTTTCACTGGGACTCAAGAGTCCAGCACTCTCTCTCCCAGCCGCTTTGGGCCTCTGCAAGGACCGAAAAGCATCCGAGCTCGTCTTGCTCTTGGACCCAGGATCCAACTGCTCCTCTCCCTCCCCGGGACCCAGGCGTCCACTTCCAAACCTCTTGAGACAACCGAGGTGGCTGTACTCCTCTCTTAGCCTTCTCAGAACCCAGTTGTCTAGACACCCTCTTTCCCTAGAATCCAGGTGTCTGGGTCCCCTCTCTTACCAGCACCGAAGTATCCCGGTCCCTTCTCTCTCTGTGACCCAGACTTCTGGGCTTCCTCTCTTTCCCGGATCAAAGTGTCCAACTCACTGTCCTCCTCCAGCCTTTCTCACCCCCCCGAATTACCCAGCTCCATGGCAGTCGCCCGCCTCTGGCTCGGTGTCCCGGGGGGCTCCGGATGCAGCGCTGTATCGGTCCGGTCAAACAGGGAAGCTGGGGGCCGCTCCATAGGCCCTAAAGCTCCCGCCGGTATCCGCGGGGCTCGGGAGGTGCTCGCACCCCGAGCTGGCACCAGGGCCGCTTCTCACATGGAGAGCCTTGGACATCGCCGGCTGCCGGGATGGGCGGGGCTTCCCAGAGCCCCACCCCCAGGAGCCTATTACCCCCTCCCGATACGAGAAACCCCTTCCTCCAAATCAGCACCATCTCAAGATTCAGAGCAGAGGGGGAAGCAGGGGAACGCCCCCTCAGTTTCCTCCCATTCAAGTATCGATGAGAATTGCCTCCCACAGAATGTCTCTAAACTCAGGTGCCCCGAGTCCCCATAGACCATGCCTGAATCCCCTCTCTCCAAAGTACCTTCTTGAAGCTTCCTCCGTAGAAGTCGAGTCCCTGAAGCGCCATCCCTCCTCAAGTGCCTCTGAGCCCCCACAGTCACCCTCCCAAAGAATGTCCCAGAGTCCGCCATAGAAAGTCCCAGAGCATCCTCCCCTCCGGGAACCTCCCTGATGACTCCCATAAAAACTCTGTGCTGTCATAGAACCTTCCTGAGGACCCCACCTAGAAATTCTCGAAGCTCCGAAAGAACGTCTTTGACCCCCCCATCTCTAAAGTCCAGCCTCTCCCTTCACAATACTCAGAGCCTTTCAGCGTCCTTCCTCTTATCTCACCCCAGAGGAATTTATCGTTTCTGTTTCATCAAATTGTACCGCAAGACCCCTGAATGTGCCAGACTCCTGTGTGTGAGGCAGAGTAAAATAATACTTACTCTTTCTATGTCTCTCTTCAGACTCCCTCTCATATAATCTTCCAAACTCTCACACTTCACACCCCTCAGAATGACCCCCCAATCTCCGGGACATTTTCACTCCTGTCTCTCATCTCCTCTAAGAACTCAGGCCAGCTTCTTCTGTCCCAGGGCAATCTAGGCCTGACCCTTTGGAAATGGTTTGGGAAGGTGGGAGCTGTCCAAGTGCTGAAGACGTGTTCCTGGGAACCGAACGGTTGGGATAGGTAGGCTCCCGGGATCGCTTTCTCTTGGTATCCTGGGATAGTCATAACAATTCTGGCACGTGTAATATGAGCGGAGGGGAAATGAACATTCCACTTTGTAAGGTCGCTGCTCTGAGCTCTGTGATTTTTATGTTCTCAAGACCCTGTCAGCTATGACACTTTATGTTCTAAGCCGGTATCTTTTCATTCTCTAATCTTCTCAAATCTTAGGTTTCTCCCAGCTCTGACATTCTCTGTTCTGAGGTCACTGGTGTTCTAGGATTCTAACCTCTACGGTTTTCAGTTCTTCTTGGGAGAGTCTTTTCAAGGGAAGTGGCCAGAAAGAAGTCTTAGGAGGTTACTGAGATGCATACCAAATAATCATGTACTCAGCCTCTCAATCTTCTTCCTCCCCACCTTCTACACACACACACACACACACACACACACACACACACACACACCACACACACCCCTTAATCAAAACTAACTTCAGCTTCCCCTTGTCCTGAGCAAAAAAAAAACATTTGGGGAACAGTCCACAAAATTAATCACAACCACCTGTCTGTGTGTGTAGAGAGCAAAACAACAACATTCTAAGCAGGAGTCTCTCCTGTAGCCCAATCTTCACAGGTCTTGTCTCCAAGTTTGTGCCTCATCCCCTTCACCATCTCCCCCCCCCCATATGTCTCATTATGGTGAGTGAGCAAGTGGTGATTCTTCATAGGAAGAGGTAGAGGGACTACACTTATTTTGTTTGGTCTTAGAAGGCAAGGCCAGGAGCAATTATAACAATAGGTAACGTTTTATATAACATCTTTATAGAACTTTCAAGTTTGCAAAACACTTCATACGTGCTATCTCACTTGATCCTCACAGCGAGCTGAGGTAGATGTTGTTATTCCTATTTTACAGATGAGGAAACTGAGGCAAACAGGGTTAAGTGACTTGCTCAGACTCACACAGCTAGTAAGTGTCTGAGGCCAGATTGGAACTCAGGAAGAAGTCTTCCTGACTACAAGCCCATAGCTCTGACCACAGTTCCACTTAACTAGCTATTATTATTATCATTATCATCATCATACCCAGGTTCTAGTTAGTGGCTTTGCTCTCTTGGCCTTAGTTTTCCTGCTGTACTGTAATACTGAAATAAACACTTACCTTTCACTTAGAATGTTGAATTCGAATCAGAATCAGAGGCATAAACACATAGCCTGGTCATTTTGCATGTGGTCTTGAACGATACTCCTGAATGCAGCCTAAATTAGATTGAAATATAATTGGGAAATATTTAACAAAAAAAATTAGAACACAGGCGCTGTTCATATGTGGTCTTCTAAGTCAATATGCACCTGCAGGGATTTCATTGCTCTCTGAGTTTGACATCACTAGACTACCACTGTGGCCCCTTTCCCTTTGGTGACTTAGGACCTTCCTTTCGGTGCAGCTACCCTAAGTGGGTTCTTTTCCTCACTCACAGACCCTCTCCATGAATTTTATCTCAGTTTAGTTCAACAAACACTAAGCTCCCACAGTAGACAAGATCCTAGTCTAGGAAATGGGGATGCAAAGATAAAAAAGTCTCTCCCTTCCAGGAGCTCAGTGACTGGGAAAAACATGTAAACAGATAAGTAAGTAAGAGGGCAATGTAAGGGAGAGAATGCTAGGAGAGGGGGGAGGAGGTTCAGGGAAATCTTTGGGGGGCGGGGGAGTTGTACCTGTCTCAAACCTTGAAGGAAGGGAAGAATTCTGAGAGACGGTGAGGAGGTAGAGCATCTTAGACCTGAGGGACAGCTCTTGAAAAGGCCCCAAGACAGGAGAGGGCATAGTTATCTCAGGGAATGGCTAGAAGTCCAGTTTGGCAGTAATGCAATTTGTGAAGAGGGGTCATGTGAAATGAGAGTGGAAAGGAACACTGCAGCTGTCTTGTGGAGAGCCAGGCTGGAGAGTTTGCCATTTTTTTCCTGCAGGCAATAGGGAGCCACTTATGGTTTCTGAGCAGAGGGAAGAAATGGTTTTGGCATCCTTCAAGGCTCAGCTTATGTCTCTTCTCCTCTGGGAAAATCTTCCCATTTCCCTTAGCCACCAACGTTCATTACCCCAACCTCAGAGGTGACCATGTCCACCTGTCTACTTGTAGTATCCCCTGTTGGAATGTATTTACCTTTAGGACACACAGCACCTGGCACAGTCTTCCTGGTCCATAAATGCCACTTAATAATTGTTTATTGTGTTCAATTGACTACTGTTGGGAGAATTGAGTGAAAAGACCGGAAAACCAGTGAAAAGGGCACTATCCAGACCAGAGGTAATGGAGGCCTGAACTAGGGTGGTGGCTATAGAAATAGAGAAAAGGGGACACATTGGAGATGTTGTTGAGATAGAACTGACAAGATTTGGCCGCTGCATGTGAAGGATGAGAAAGATAGAAGAGTGAAAGTTGTGTGCATGAGGGATGATGCTGCCCTCAACAGAACTAGTGCTGGCCTTCTCATGGCTCCAGTCACAGCTCCTTCCCTCATGGATTGGGACTTCCAGCACCTGGACTCACCTTTCACAGGGTCCGGGAGTCTGTCTCTCTTCTTAGGACAAGCCTCTCTCCCAGGCTGCACTCCCTGAAGCTCCCAGGGAAACAAACTTAATCCATTTGTCCCTCCTTCCTCCCTCCCCCCACCTGCCTAACCTAGATCCACTCTTCAAGAAATCCTTCTCTGACTGAAAACACTCCTCTTTCTACCCCAAGACAAACAGGAAGAAATTCATAGGGCCTTTTAAAATAAGATTTGTAGCATGTACCAACAGAGCTGAAGGAGGGAGAGGGAGACACACACACACAGACAAACAGAAAGAGACAGAGAGATCATACCAGTCCAACCACAGAGGAGGAAACGGAGACTCAGAGAAACTAGGAGACATACTCAAGCTAATAAGAAAACAGATTTCTGGCCTTGGAGCCAGGTAAGCACTCTTTCCACAGTACCCTGAAACCTCTTATAAGACCTGAGTTTGAAATCTAACATTGCTACCTGTTCCCTCTCAGGCCTTTGACCAATCACAGCCTTCCTCTGGGCCTGTTTCCTCCTCTTCAAAACAAAGGAGATTGGTTTAGATAATCTCTAAGGTTCCTTTCAGGTCAAGATCCTATGACTTACTCAAGCTTGAGTCCCTACTCTGCCCCAGTGTTTTCCAGTGGCTCTGCCTTCCCATAGCCCATCACCCTCACTGCCTTTACAGAAAGCTCCCTCAGATGCATGGGAGAATCATGTGGGTGCAAGGCTCTTTCCTGTTTACAAAGAAGTTTCTCATCCATTATCTTGTTCGATCCTCAAAACATCTCTGACGGAACTGAGGAAATTACATTGCAAACTGTGATGCACTTGATAAATCTCAGTTTTTGGTCATGTTTCTGAGGCTAATGTTGTCTGGGGCAGAGAAATCCTACGAAGAACTTGGTAAGACCTTCCAAATAAAATGCCAAAAGACTCTGATACTCAGTTACTTAAATTGGGGCAAATGTGGGGGAAAGTGAGGATGGGGGGAGAATTATGTGGGGAAGTATGGCTCAGGACAGAAGAAATGAGATCAACCAAAGACCTGTAGATTGTACAGACACCTCATGCCTCTGTATAATGAATATTTTTTTTAAAAAGAATGGGTAGGTTCTAGAAATGATGAATTGTTGCTGTCGTCATTGTTGTTATTAGTAGCACCAAGTAACACTACACAGGATGACGCAGACTACATTTTGACAAGAAAAGACATATTAGTATGGGAGTTACCCCTGAGTCAGCTATTTATGTATAGTGAAGCCATTGACTCACTTATCAACTCTAAGATCAGAATTTGTAAAGTAAAACAAAACAGGAGGAATAATGAAAAAAAGGATATGACAATATACAATTAAAGATTTAACTCTGGGTTATTTAGACAAGTTATTGAAAATCAAAAATAAGAAATGGACAACAGACATGACATCAGCACTGACTATAATAATTTCATCTAGAAGTTAGAGCAGTGTAGATGAATTGCTATAACAAGAAGACCAAAAGAAACCCAGATGTGCCTTAGTCAGCAAACATCTGACTTACTTGCTAAATGGAAAAAGAGATTGCAGTCAAAGGAAGCTCGGGTAAGAATATAAACTCATTTGTAAAATTTCATGAAGAAGGATGCTGAATGGTTATGAGCAATATTATCTCAGAAAGCAGAGAGAAAAACTGGAGGGTAAAATAAATTTAAAGAAAGTTTGGCAAGATATCCAACTCTGCAAAGTCATCCTTGAGGGCATCTGAGGATGAGAATGGAAGGAGGCCAACAAACAGAAGAAAAATGGAAAAGATCTGCAAAAACCATTTCATTCTACCATTTCTCAATCAAGGATCATGAAACTATCAAACTTGGACCCCAACATCATAGTCCCCTAGGTGCCTGTGGAGGAGGCATACATGGCACTAAAGGGAATAAAGATGGAAAAATCAGCTGGATTGGAGCAAATATACATAGAGAGATACATGCTGGAGTTGATACAATTTGGAGGGACTGATTATGCAAGGTATGTGAAAGGAAGGAAGATACCCAAGTTGTAGAAGAAATCTCAAAACTTATTTATGTGGAAAAAAGTGATCAACAGAACACTCTAGTAACTACCTACTTACATGCTACTCTTTCATCTACATGAAATCTTCATGTAAGTCATTTGCACTGAACCAGCCCTTTTGCAGAGAACAAGGTTTTCACCAGTGATATGCCACACTGTCACCATCTCACAAGTGACTGAAAGATGCAGAGAACATAAGATCTTATTGTGTTTATTATTTGTTGATTACAAAAAAAAA